AAAAAAAGAATTTGAAATCTGCAGTCGGCAGCAACAAACTTCCATTTTCCAAGCGGAGTCGTACGAACTCGCAGAAGAAACGACGAGCGAGTTGTTGACGGAAAACTTCGCCGCGAGCCACATAATTCTGCAGCAATCTTCGGGACCTCGTTCCCGACACAAAAGCTGGGTCAGCAACGACGACGCCGACAGCGACACGGATTCCTACATCTGTTGCGTTGCTAATGAAGAAAAAAATCGCGACGAACCTTCCGGCGATTCATGTGCCTCATCATCTTCACCGGAAGATGAAGCCACAGAAGAAGAAGAAGAAGAAGAAGGAGATTCCGCTTCGAATGATAACCATCAGCAATCAACCTCCTTATTATCATCGTCATCAATGGAATCCACTGATTCAGAATCCGAAGACGAAGTGCAATCGTCGGAGACGTTGACTGAACCGGCTCAAGTGGAAAACGTGCAACTCCACGAAGAATGTTCGTCAATAAATGATCCTGAAACTGTTGAGGAGACTTCGGAAAATTCGGATTCGTTGGAATTCGAAGAAAACTTTCCAACCCTTCGAGTTAAAGAATACTCGCCGATAGCAGAGGGAAATTATGAAAATAACGCGGAAATATGCCAAAAAGACGAAGAGGATGCCGAGACATCGATCGAAATCCGGAATTCACTCGAATCAAAGAGGAAACCTCGAAAAGTGTCCTTCGAGGATGAAAGAGAATCGCTGACTGGCATCAAAACCTCCGAAATAATGGGCAAAAACGTCTGCAGGAAACAAATTGATTTTGGAATCGAATGCGGAGATCAACCGGGGTCTCAGAAATTACCGTTTGATACCAGCAGTGAGATGGCAAATAAGCTATTTTCACAAAAAAGGAACAACTGGTCGGCTACACCCGAAGGTTGCAGAAACGGAATCGGAAACGGCAACATTTCAGAAACAAGGGAAAATGTTGATTCGGAAAAAGCCTCGTTCGAAGATTTAAACAGTGTCAAAGTGTCATCAATCATTCAAAACGAAACTCTCAGTCTTCATTCAACTTCTCAAGAGATTCCATCTTTAAACATCGAAAATAATGGAGAACATTCAACTTCTGAATCAGCGCGTCCAGAAAATGAAACCAAAAACATTAAAATTCTGTTGGACGAGAAAAACCAAGGCCAAGTATTGTCCGCAAATTTTGAAGAGGATGACGATGACTTCTCCGAAGAATCCTGTCAAAATATAGAAGGAGAATTTCCATCACATACTTTTGAATATCCTCGTCGTCATCCTGCGAGAAAAGAACGCATCAAGCTTATGAAACAGACACCTAATAAACAGAGCCTTGTCAAAAAAATACGTTTTAAAGAAATTCATGACGTTCGAAACATTTCATCCCATTCTGAGGAAGAAGAGAGCGAAGAAGAGAACCCAAGAGGAAATGGGAATGATGTTAACGATGACTATGAAGCCAACGGCCCGGATACAAGTGAATACATTTCCGAGTTTTAAACCAGTTATATATGTAAAAAAAAAATACAATTTCAGAAAAATCTGGGATTCGTGGGGCATTGTTATGCAATCAAGGATAATAGTTGAACATTGGCTTCGCTATGATCTTGCCTGCTGAAATCAGAGTTCCGATTACAATAAATAGCTTTTAGTTACAATATTTCGAATAGACACGACTGTCAAATTTCACATAAGAAGAATAATTCAAACGAGAATATGCATTTCTCGCATAGACGGATTTTTCGGAATCTCGGTGAATTTTGTGTTTCCGTTTTCGCGGAAATTATAAAAAAAACCACATTTACGCCAAAATATTAAAATTGTGATTCAGCGTAATTCTTGAACGTGTCACCTCGGTTTAATAAGCATATTTTTTTACTTCATCGGGCAACTTAATTTAAGCAATGCATATTCGAAATTACGAGCCTAAGAAAATACTCAAGCCGCAAAACATTTTCTTCCAGAAATAAGCTTCCATATTTGTTACCAGCCTGAGAAAATATTTAAACCCACATGTATTTGTTTCATATTTGTGGAACTACACTGAGTAGTTCTGTACATATTCGGTTGCTATGATTTTATTCCCATTCAAAGAAGGCTAAACTTGTATGCAAATATAAAAATTCCACAGATTGTGAATTGAAAGATAACTTACAGAATTTCTGGATTTCGGCCTAATGTCTCGGCATCTTGAATTTTTTGCTTATCTCGAAAAGTATATCAATCTGTACTATAGGCCCGTATTGGAAGCAATTGCTTTTTCAAAATCTGTCGAGTAACTCAATAGAAAAGATTATATATATAGTACCATATAACGAAATGAAACAATGAATTTTCTTCAGAGTTTCGGATTTAAAACAGTTTATAACCCTTTCGATTAGGCTCCTCTATTTTTTTCCTCTGCAAATTCCTTGAGCAATCAGCAACATATTCCCCAATCATCTACCTTCCTATGTTCTCATTTCGAGCTTGCATTTTTCTTTAGCATCTTGAAATACCAAATGCGCACACATGTCTTGATTTGACAACATATCTCATGCATCTGGGTAAAAAAAAAAAAAGATCGGCGCACTGGGACTTTGTTGAATCCATACATAGCCTGAGTAAGTGCGACTTTCGAAGCACGCCCCTCGATGGCGATCAAATGATAAGGAGTATAATTGAAAACAAAAACTTACAAAATCGGTTACTTATTATTGGAAATAGGAAATTACTCAATAATTGCTATTCTTGAAATACCCATCGTATCAGCGCCGTTAAAACGGAAGTTTCACAGCAGTTTCTGCTGTCTCATGTCCATAAATCACAGCCAATATGATTCCGATCCTCAAACGCGCGGAGTTCTGCACTCTATATTTAGTAGTTCAAAATGCTTATGTATTTCTTTAAAAAAAAAAAAAGGAATACATGCTGTACTTTTTGCCTTTTTTTTTTGTGCCCCCCACATAGCCAAGCCTGTCATCATCACCAAGTCCTTGGACACGGAAGGCATCGAAACTGAGGAAATCGTGCTGGAGGTCAAGGCTGACGGAGTCCCCAGACCGAGTATCAGATGGTACGAAAATATATTCCGGGAACCGAAATCGCTGAGAATTCCAGTCGATTTCGGAAGGATAAGAAAATTCTTGGACATGTTCCCTTACTGCATTTAATTGTATACACGTTCCGAGGCGAATGCTGCTGACGTCTTCTAGTACTTTTTGAATATAATATATGATTGATTTGTTTCAGCTTTTATACCAGCTACTAAAATGGAAGAGGTTTTCTGGTTGTTAATTCTGTAAAAAGTGAAGAATGAAGACCTATATAGCTGAGGCTTTTTTTCAAGACTTGTTCCTCTTCAAATCATGCTGTGAATAATCCACGATAAACATTTAGTTCCAGTTTCCAATCTTCAACATTTGAATTATTATAAATGCTAAGAACCAGTTTTAACGTAGAATTCCAGTATTTTTGCTTTTATTCCCATCTGTAACATCTTGCCCACCAATAAAGTTATTCGAGGAAATAATAAAATACTGTACCAATGAAAGTGTTCACAATACAGTACAGTACAGTACTTCTTCATGCACTTCAGTAATTTAATGACTCGACCAATTTTGCAGATTTCCGAAGACCGAACGTCGTTTCAACCCGATATAAAATTTATTTCGGTAACTTGCGTTAAGCAGAAAATTTTATTTTGAGTTGAGATATTGGATTTGGTGACTAAGCATGAGTACTTTGACCATTCTCTGATTTTAAATTCCTGGAAAAAATAACGTGGCATTATAGCCCAAAGTTATTTTGTAATTGTGGCAAAATTTTCTGTTAACGGTTTTTATCGACGTTCGGAGCACTTCAATCGAATGGAATTTCTTTGCTTGTCTGTCACTTAATAAAGCTGTTGTTTCACGTTATTTCCAGAGACTGGAACACAGAACATGGCTGGCTGCCGTTAATTGAAAATTTCAACTACATTTTATTTTAGAATGTGCCAGTTTTGCCATTCGGGTGTATTTTTCATGCATGTATTTGCTCGCTCTCGTATATTAAGGTTCATTGGGGAAATGGAAATTGAAGAAACGTATCGCATCAAGAAGTTCGAAGATGATTCGGACAACACGTACCAACTCCGCATTGCAGCGCTTAAAGCCGAAGATGCTGGCGAATACGAATGCGTAGTTGAGAACATGCTCGGGGAGGCCAGGCTCAAGGGCAAAGTTACTGTCAAAAGTAAGTTCTAAATTAAGCGAAAAAAGCTCATGACGATCAGAGGTTTTCCAGAGGAATGAATGACGAAAGTTAAGGAGAGCTTTGAATCTTTCCAAGCATTTTTGAGTACAGACGCGAGCGGATTTTTTGCCCAAGTCAAAGCGCCGAATTTAGCGCGATCGAAAAAAAAGCGCGTGAAAACAATTTTGTGCCAAAAAACCGTAGGCGTCCAGGGGAAGGCTTTTACTGAAAAATTTTCCTGGAACAGATAATAACGGATTTTTTTTAAATTTTTATTCGCCTTCTCATATTTTGATGCTCAGCAACTATCAACGAGGCATCTTATATTTAAATAAATAGAATTAAACGTTGATGATTTTCTGTTGCGGCTCTGTATGTACTTTTCTACAGTTGCCTTGAATTAAATTGCTTCTGTTTTAATTTCGGTACACCTCTGTTCTGAGAAGTGCGCATTTGGGATACGCTCAGTTGTACCGGCATACTTTTTCTCTCCATGGCACGCGACCAAACAAAAATCGCATTTTATTTTCGCGCGTGAACCTCGTGGTCGATTTTGTAATTCGTGCATTCCATCGGTATTGAATAATGTCATTGTTTTTTTTTTCATACATTTTCCTCGAATGATCAGCTTTGAAGGAACTGAGACATCCGAAGATCATGGCGAACCTGATTGACCAGACGGTGATGAAAGGCGAACCATTCCGCCTCAAGGCGTCAATTCGCGGAGAACCCACCCCGGAAGTGCACTGGTTCAAGGATGGCAAAATTGCGAATGAGACGGACGGGGTTGAAATTTTGCGCTGCGAGGATGGGTTCACTTACGAAATCGCTGTCGAAAAGGCCTCAGAGAAACACCACGGGATGTACGAAGTGTCGGCCAAAAATGAGTGGGGCGAAGCTGAAAGTCAGGTGATTTCCTTTTTGTATTTTTTCAGCAAAAATTTGGATTGCTTGTACAGATATTTAAATATTCTCTAGATTCGTTCCAGAGTCCAGACTAAAAAATGTGAAATACACGTACTGTCTGAGACGGTTTGGGGTTTTGTTGGCTGCCAGAATATTATTCTGTTGACCGAATACTGAAATTGTTTTTGTGGTTGCCAAAAGGCCTACTTTTCTTCAAGGAAAGAGCTCCAAAATGTTTTTGTTCACATGATTTGATCGATGACAATGAAAAAATTTCCAAAAAAGTTTTGATAATCGAGAATAATTTCAATTGGGTAAGAAAATATGAATTCTGTCAACGCTGAAATATCGTGATAATCAATAATCGTGTCGTCATCGTGCAAAGAAAGTCAATGACATTTTTTTTATTCAAAAAAAGTATCGCCTCAAAGGAAGAAAACAAATTTTTAGCTGTATTATCGACAGTCACACGAGGTATACACGTCATTAGAACAGATTTTTACGAACTCGCAAATCTTTTCAACAGGAAAATGAGAATACTAGTTATATTGCAAATAAAATCATGCAATGGAACAAAAATCTAAATAAACCTGACTGAGCTTCCATTTAGTGATTTTCCTTTGCATATGACGACTCAAATAATGGTTCATTAGATCACATCTAAAAAATCTGTCGCATTGTTTTCATTTAATTTTGCTTAAATTCATGATTTCACATGATACAATTCTTTTCAGGCAACTGTGACGGTGCTTATCAAGCCTGAAATCTACGAGATCCCGAACGTCCAAGTGGATCATTCGGACAACGTGACAATCTCTGGCACTGTCGTCGCCAATCCCAAGCCCAAGATCACATGGTTTGTCGAAAAAAAAACGAATGATCAACCTTTTTATAAATTTTTTTACGAGTCGGGCTGTGTTTTTCCCTTTTGTGGAAAATTCGACTCGGAAGTCACCGTTTTTTTTTGTTGCTAGGTATGACTGAAAAAGTTTGCGAACCATGTTTCATAAAGTAGAAAGAATGTCTATATTGAACAGTTTTTTAATCATCCTGTACGAGATGATAAATTCAGCAATATAATCGTGCGCTGAAAAGGATCAAGTACGGATGACGCTCATTCCTTGGCACTAAGAGCATAATTAAGAGCCCTTCGTGGAAGTTCGAAAATTAAATTAAATTTTGGCTGACTTTTTTTTCCAACATTTTTCCCCAAGGTTGAAAAATGGAGAACCTTGGACACTCGATGCTCAGCGAATGAAAGCTTATGAAGAAGCCACAGACACTCATTCGTTGGTCATTAAACAACTAATCGACATCGATAAAACAGAGACGAATGACGGAGCAAATTATACACTGGTGGCGGAAAATGAACACGGAAAAAGGGAGCAAACATTCAAGCTTCACATCAATCGTCAGTGAAAACATATTTTTTTTCAGAATCTCAATTCTTTCATCAACTTTCTTTCACAGAAACCAAGCCCATTTTCCTGGTGCCCGTAACCGATTTCGAAATTGGCGTCGGAGATTCAGCCACGCTTTTCGGAAAGGTCACTGGAATTCCAAAGCCTACTCTCAAATGGTAAGAAGTTCATTCTTCCTTCATTCATGCGATCAAAAAAGAGGAAATTGTTCTGACAAATGCAGGAAATGTTGAAAAACTTCAATTTAATTGGGAATCATGCTACAGCTTTCACCTTCTTTGAGATCTAAGTTTGCTCCTTAATCAAAAACTCATTCGGTTTATGTGAATGAACTGTGAATATAATTAAAGTATGATATCGCCCAATTATCATTATAATAAGCCAACTTCAGTGGTTCAAATGAAAACCCGGCGTCGAAGAAATCGAGAGTATTCAGTCGATTTCCTCGCTTTGAAGTCGTATTTTGGACGATTAAAATTTTACAGTATTCTGTTCCTGAAAAATAAAATCAGGTTCAGTTAACTGCAGTAAATAAATAATTATTTTTCCAAATAAAAATTTCCTCTTCCAAAGGACAAAAGATGGTTCCGAGGTCGAATACAGTGACCAGATTGTGGAACGAGAAGGCGAAGACCAGTCTTACGAGCTGTTTTTCAAGGAAGTGAAAAAGGAGGATTTCGGGATGGTAACTTTTTGAAGCATTATTTTTTTCATGACGCCGAAAGCCGCACGATTTCATGACAACAATAAAACTTTTCTGCAGTACACCTTGACAGCCACGAACTTGTTCGGAGTTGCCGAAAGCACGGCTGAGCTGAGTTTGCCGAAATCTCCGCCAAAAGTGCTGGAAGAACTACAGCCGAGAATGCGAGTCAAGGAGGGAGAACCCATGGTTTTACAAATGAAATTCGACAAGCTTTCCGGATCGGAAGTAAAATGGTATTTACATTTCAATCGATCCTTGAAAAATATCCGAAAGGGATTTCCGTCGCGATGCACTATAATTCTTTCGATTTTCTGCCGATTTTCAGTACTGTACATTCCATTGTATCCATCATTTTTGTAGCCCGACTTTTGGAATATTATTTTATTATCAATCTGCCGTTCAGAAATTGCTAGCTTATTGAACTTACATTTATAATGATATTCAAGTATAATTTTACATTGAAGAACAAGACCTGATCTCACGAGAGGAAAAAAATCGAGTTTTGTTTCTCAAAAGACGAGCAAGAGAAAATTTGGAAAATTTGACGGGCGTCAAGCAAAGAAGAAAAATGATGAGATTATGTTCGATTGTAATTCATTCTATTTTCTGTTTTAGAATCACACCGCGTGATAAATTCAGCGCGCAAATAACCCCAGCACGTGTTATCCAATTCAGACCTTAAAAAAATTTAAGAACTAAATTTTTAAATCGCTTCCCTCCATATTATAGCTCGGTAAACACATTTTATAAAAAAATTTTTATAAAAAAAACATTTTATAATGTATTTTGATGACAGCATATTCGTATCCAGTGTTGATTCTATCTTACCCCCAGCCAGTATATCCGGTTTAATCTACGTATTTTATTGACCACGTTATGAAAACTTTACTTCCACCTATAAATGACTGCTTTTCTGTACTGTTCGAATGTCTTCTAAACAGCTTTTCGAGGAAAGCAATAAATATGGTAGCTCGCGCTAGATGTGGTAAAATTATGAAAGCAAAAGATTCCATGTGCTTTCCGACTGAATTTCAAATCGCTTTCTTCCATGTGCCTTGTCAAAAGTATATTTATAGATTCATGTTACCTTATATAAAGTATAATCTTTGGTACAACGAAAAGTCACTCGTAACGAAATCATTTTCCAAGTCCCTGCCCCATAGCCGAAATGTTAAACGAGGTACAGTACTTTATAACAAATTTCCCTTCACAACGAAGCTATTTTACTGGTCCCCGCAATGGCTTCGTTGTAACAAGATTTTCCTGTACTCAACCAGCTTTCCTTTTCTCTTATCTCCAAGTATATCAAATCTGATTTCTGCGTATTTTACTATTCCTCAACCGTGGATGACAAAGATGTATTTCCCCTCTTATCCCTCTCCCTATATTTACAGGGTGCTGGGCCAAAAAAAGTAACCGATTTTTGAATTAAAATGGCTCGGAAGAAAATTGAGCCATGGCGATGAAAAAAAAACGAAGTTCCTTTTTTAAAGTAAATGGTTCTTATTGTGACCATGCCGTGGAAGTGTGGAACTCAAGACCACAAAACTGAGTACCATTTGAAAGGAAATTGAACCAGCTTTAATTTTGTGTTTGTTGTCATTAATTTCCTGATTAATTCGTGTACTCATTTCTAACCTTTCTTGTATCTTCAATTTTGAGCTTATTGTTGTCTCAAACTGGTATGAATTCAATTTTTAGGAACTGTTGATCAGACAAATCCTTATATCCTTAGCCAGCGGTGACGTTGGTGTTGAAGGTTTAAATCATTTTCTGCGTGCTTTCAAAGAACCAAAAATAGACTTCAACAATCCTTACAAGTGCATATTTATTCTGTTTCACAAAGCATAGAATATGTGAGCATCAGACCACAAGGTTCTCATGGCAAGCATTTGGTCAGAGTAAGCTCTACATAAGACAGCAGATGCTTATATTTATAGAAAATTGCATTTGAGGTCAGTGCTGAGCATTGCAACCAATTTGGATTGGTGTCAACATACTTGGTTGTGCGGAAACCAAGGTGAAAGGCGTACAACATAGGAAGACATTTAAAGGAAGTAAAGGTGCAGTTGGGCATTTAATTAACAATGCGGAATGGAACGTGAAAAAGACGAGGGAACATAACAAAGTGTGGTATATTGTAGTCATGATATTTATTGGACTGCATTATTTAGCAAAATCTTTCTTCTTAAAAACTTTCCAAATTTCTAGCCATTTTTCAGGCTTTGTGAGTAAATCTCAAATTTCCCTCACACCACATCTAAATTTTCTTTCAAGTTATATGCTTTGAGTCAAAGATTGGTTGACTTTCTTTTGGTCCACCTTGTATATCCATTATTGACACTCTAAACCACATATTACCAATCCGTATAATAATAATAAAAATAATGATACAATACAGGTACAAGGACGGGCACCCTGTCATCCCTGACGGAAGGATCCGCATTGAAAGCCTGCCTGATGGAACCCAGAAGCTGATCATTGATCAAACCATACGTGAGCCAGCTCTTTCTAGAAACGACTCAATTTTCCGAGAACAAAGCAGAACGAGATCCAGCCCGGAGTCGAGCAAAGTTCTGCTGAAACAAGTATATTCCAGCATCAGATATCCAACTGCTGTGTTTATATTGCACATCGATATTTGCTGCTTTTAAATAGAAATCTAAAAAAAAATGGAGCGAAAGAAAGAGATCCCGTCGCGATCAATAGATCAACTACTGGATTTACGCGATCATATATGGGCCAAAAAAATATTCCCAGGTGCGACCAAGGCACGATATTTGCAAGTATTGGACGCACAGCTAATTACAACTTAAAATTACAAAAATAAATTTACAGTATATCCAAATGAATTTCAAAAGTTACCTTATTTTTATGGCTTTAGCTACAGTAATAATTTTTTAATCGACTCATTTTGGCTGATCCCTTCGAGGAATTTTTTTTCAAGCTTTAAAAATGATTTTTCTTTTTAAAAATTAAGATTTTATGTTGTCTATGGCTCTATGTAACTTATTTTTCGCCACGAAAATTCTGCTCAAAAGCTATAATACGGCATATATTCGCGTAAATACTCGTAGTTGCTGTAAATATGATAAACAAATGGCGAAGAATTGCACGTCGTAGAGGCGACATCTCCTGGGAACTATAGTTGTGCCGAAACGCATCATCTTGGATTGATGACTTCTTTTTTTTCCCAGTAGCCACGATGATTGTTCGGCACATTTGTCGATACGTCGTTTTTTTGCGTATTTCCAGGTGCTCAAATTTGTTAAATCCGTATTATATTGAGCACCTGATGTTGTCCAAATTGTAGAAGTGCTGTGTTGCAAACCTTTTGGCATTCCCCCCATCTGTGCTATCAAAACACATGAACGCTTCGTTTGCCACTGAGTGGTATTTGCAAAAGACGTGTGACGCAAAAAAAGAGAGAGAAACCTGCGAAAATTTGGCACGTCTTTCTGTCCCTCGCTTCGCTTGGGTTTTCTGTTTCTTTTTTGTTGTTGTTGATGCTCGCTCAGCAAGTTAACAACAATATGATGACAAGCAACACGAGCATTTGTCGTTGACAAACACACGAAAAAAAACACTTGTTCGAACTTTTTGTACACCCTCTTTGTCAGCTAACACGATTATAGCTCAACCTTGCAAGCCCAAGTTCATCCAAGGATTGCAAGACTTGGAGGCAAATGAAGGGAAATCTCTGCGACTCGAGGTTCAAGTGCTTAGTTTTCCTCCTGCTGAGTTGTTCTGGTAAGTCCAATTCTTGTTTCCTTTTGAAAAATCTCATCAAAAAACGATGCATTATAAACTATGAAACATTTTATAAATCATTACAATTTTGCGCTGCAAGATCAGATTTTTTTTTTACTGCCGCAGGGGCTGCTGGAAAATCGAAAACATGAAGAGCTTTCTGCGCAAAATATTTCCAAATATTCCATGAAAAACAGCTGATCGTAAATTTTCTTCTGAGTTTCTCAAACAACCTGTTCTCTATATTTTTAGGAAAATTCGGCGCTGAATTGGAAATTTTCTAAATTTGCAATAAATTCCTGATATTTGGCACAAGGAAGGTCGGCAAAGGAAAGTTTATAACCAGCTTATGAAGACAAATATTTTTAGCAATTCTCAAGGGAGACGCAAACCGATTGTGCCCATGAAAAATACGACAAAGAAAACCTCGATTTTAATATTTCGTCGAAAGCAGCAGAGTAGAGATTTGATTGAAAAATTCTAGTAATTTCTAAAATTTTGAAAGTAAAAAAATACATATTTTTCTAGAGTTTATAATTTCGCCATCGATGTTCAAAGAATTGGTGAGCTCTAAAAAGGTTTCCCACTAATATAGTGAAGAAATAGTCTTCAGCAGGCACATCATTTTTCCCCGCAAGTTTTGCACAAAAAAAATGGATGTATGTGAAAAAGTATTCCTCGGACATGTGCTTTCGGATTGCGTTTCATTCAAAATTCCGTGATGAATGGAAGATTTATTTTGGGAACAGGACGAAAGACGGGTCACGCGTTTGGCCGAGTTCGAGCCTCATTTTCACTCACGACACNCCAAGGATTGCAAGACTTGGAGGCAAATGAAGGGAAATCTCTGCGACTCGAGGTTCAAGTGCTTAGTTTTCCTCCTGCTGAGTTGTTCTGGTAAGTCCAATTCTTGTTTCCTTTTGAAAAATCTCATTAAAAAACGATGCATTATAAACTATGAAAAATTTTATAAATCATTACAATTTTGCGCTGCAAGATCAGATTTTTTTTTACTGCCGCAGAGGCTGCTGGAAAATTGCAAACATGAAGAGCTTTTTGTGCAAAATATTTCCGAATATTCCATGAAAAACAGCTGATCGCAAATTTTCTTCTGATTTTCTCACACAACATGTCCTCGTTAATTTTAGGAAAATTTAGCGTTGAATTGGAAATTTTCTAAATCTGCAATAAATTCCTGATATTCGGCACAAGGAAGGTCGGCAAAAGAAAGTTTATAACCAGCTTATGAAAAAAATATTTTTTGCAATTCTCAAGGGAGACGCAAACCGATTGTGCCCATGAAATACACGACGAAGAAAACCTCGATCAATATTTCGTCGAAAGCAGCAGAGTAGAGATAAAAATTCTAGTAATTTCTAAAATTTTGAAAGTGAAAAAAGACATATTTTCCTAGAGTTAATAATTTCGCCATCGATGTTCAAAGAATTGGTGCGCTGTAAAAAGGTTTCCCACTAATATAGTGAAGAAATATTCTTCAGCAGGCACATCATTTTTCCCCGCAAGGTTTGCGAAAAAAATGGATGTATGTGAAAAATATAAGGAGCCTGTACACGAAAGCCTAACGCAAAGTAAGTTTTAAGGCACTACTTACCTTCTAAATAAAACCCTTGTCCTGCTTTCTGCCCAGTGCGCAAACCGGCTCAAGCTCGGAGTAAAAGTGAGACGACACTGATGGGAGACAAGTGCTGGACATTTTGCGTGCCAAATCCGGTGACGAAGGAGTTTATTCCGTGACTGCGAAGAATGTACTCGGGGAAGCTTTCACATCGGGCTCCGTGAAGCTCTTGCGTAAGGACAGGAAACATAATGATTCCATGTATATGTCGTCGACCTTGGAATGAAATGATAGAAAATAATCTTTCTTTTTATTTTTGCTAAAAAATGTGGGAAGGTTTTGCAGATTTAATATCATGCGGAATTCGATTCTATTTTACTTCCTTTCATGCATTTTCGTTCGAAGTTTCGCTGAAATTTTTTTTTTCATGCATGATCAGATTTTATTTTAACTTTTTGAAATGAATTTTTATTAATTTTTTGCTCAGCAAAAGTCGCAGCACCGAAAGTTATTCGTCCCCTCAGGCCGAGGAAGGTGCAGGAAAGTACCTACTTGAAGCTGGATGCCTCATTCAGCGGATTTCCTCAGCCCACGTATCACTGGCAAGAGACTCTTCTAGACACTTTCAAAATTTGAGTGTTTTCCTAGCAATTTTGGGCTGAAGATTATTTGGTTTTTCCGGAAATAACAGGCAGAGAGACGGAAAAGTGTTCGTTCCAGACGGAGGCAGGGTTTGCTCGGGAACGGAGCCTTCAGGACCTTAAATAAACTTTAAGGTTCTGCACGCTAGGCTCCTAGCTCCTTTAATAAGTCAACACCGCTTTTTGAGCCGACCACTTACACGGTGACTTCGAGCGGAACTACAGTGTCCAATAAAGGTTATTATTATCCATGCGAGGGCTCATTTTTTTCTCAAAGTATTTTGCTTCTCTTCAGTATATTTGAATTGTTGGATGGTTTTGCTCACCAAACTGACGCGTAGAGTGAATTGGAAAACATAGAATTGAAGCTTGAAAGTTTATCTCAAAATTTCATAAAGAAATAGGATTCCCAATCGATTCTATTGTACGCCTATTTTTAAATTTGAAAGCAGTCTGACTGTCAAATGTTACGAAAAACTCAAAGAAAGAAAAAATCTAATGACAAAGTCACCGAAATGGCAATCATGATGTTCAAAAGCGCATTTTGACGTTGGTAATTATAGTTTTTACACGGTTTGATTTGAATAATGTTATCGACGGCATATTATTCCTAATTCTCACGCATAATTTGAATATCTTTAGAGCTTAATTATGAAATAAAATCCTGCTGAGATAACTTTCGAAGCATCGCTCGTTTTTTCAAGGAAAATCCTTAGGCTTCGTCAAATTTAAAAATTGATCCAGAAAACTGGTTTTATTGCAGGGAAAATGGTCTTTGAAAAATTTTCTAACGTATTATGCAGCACTCAAAAAATCCTAAATTCGATAGATTCAAGAAAATTGCAAGAAAGCAGACTGTGATTCTGCCTGGTAAAGCTCGAGACTCGAGAGTATGACTGATCACGCCCTTATATGAGCATGTTTCTAGTTTTTTATGAACTCTCAATATTGATTCTTTAATGGAAAATCGTTTTATACGTGATTGCAAAAATTCCCAGTCGATAAAAAATAGAATCATAGCATCCAAGCAAAACAATTCTGACTCTGCAGTCCAACAACAATTCCACAAGCCAGTAAAAATTTACTCGGGAAACTCTCTCTAAATAAATTTTGTCTACAAACCTTTTTTAATTTACAATTTTTTTGGTCCATCATAAGTTTATTTCACATATTATAAGGTTTCTCCATCGCAAAATATCTCTGTGCAATGAATTTTTTCCGGTCCCCTGAATTTCATCGCAGAATTCAGTTGCACATAGATTTTCATATATTTTCAAATTAAACCATGTCATATTACACATAACACAATGTTACTTTTGTGCCGAATGAGCCCCTGATGAGTACATGGTTTTATTTTATATGTTTGAACCTCCTGGTCACATATTTAATGCAGTTTTCTGTCACTCAAAAGTATACAACGAATCTTTTGATTTATTGGTTCTGATAAAATGTCAGGTGTGCATTCAGAATCCAGATTGTTCTCAACCTTTACTAATTTTTTTTATCGTCTGCTGTTTCTTACTCATGAAGACTTACTTCAAACAAAAATGTAATCGCTTTCTTTATGCAGTTCATGCTTAATCTTGTATTATAAAGCTTCCAATGCATATTGTCAACTAATAGAGGCCCTGTTTTGTTGGAAGAAGAATGAATCGTTTACATGCTGGTTACAGTAATGTACAGTGAAAGAGGACGGATTAATGATGGTGTGTGAGAATCTCTCTCTTTCTATTAGGAAGATTAAACCTAGTAGGAGAAGGTCTAAACGGACCGTTCGGCGGCAAGCACAGCCCTTACTGTCTGCACCACCTCCACCAGCTCCCGGTCCTTAACTTTAACTACGAGCCTGTGGGTGGAACCCCGTTCCCGGACGCCAGCTGGAATAAAAACGGCGTCCCTCTGACCTCGCACGACGCCGCCCGAGTCAACATCATTAATCAGAACGGCAAGGTATCCCATCTATATCCTTCCAGCCACCCACCCACGACTTCATTCATTCATCGGAGAAAAGCCTTTTTTCTTTCTTTCTAGAAAACCCCTGACTCCTTCATTCTTTCCCCATGCTGTGTATATTATTACCCTCCGGCCTCCCGGCTGTATTAAATGCAGGGGCTTTGCCCTAATGACGAGGCGAGTAGTTATCAATTTCGCTTCGTGACATAAAGAACGACCATCTACTTGAATACACACTGTCGTGCTTTAGACAAAACGGTTAATAACGCGATACAGTATTCAAGTCCAGAAAATGGGCGTCCTTTGAATTCGCCGCCAACCAATCAGCGTTACTCAAATGGTCGTTCTCAAAGTGTGTAAGGTTTTATTTTGTGTGGTAGGAATTTTACAAGCCTTACACCTGTAAAGAATTGGTAGAGTTTGCTGAAATAGACCTTGTCAATTGATTAATCAGGCAGAGAATTAAAACACAGTACTTGGC